AAGAATTAATGTTCAAATGAGTCACCTAATTTACCTTGAGGAGTCCAATAAATTTGAGTTCATTTTGGTGAACAACACAGCAAATACACAACACACACATATGTACATGTGTATGTATGTGTGTATATACATATATACACACATATATATAATTAGTAAAAATTATTTAGCAAAATAATAGGTATCAAAGAGTCACTTGTCATTGTAAAAAGCTCAGCAAATTTGGGACACTTGTCTTTTTTTTTTTTTTTTGGTACTGAGGATTGAACCCAGGAGCACTTGTACCACTGAGCTACATCCTCAGTCCTTTTCATATGTTTTATATTGAGACAGCGTATTGCTAATTTGCTGAGGCTGGCCTTGAATCTGCAATCCTCCTGCCTCTTTTTATGCAACGAAAACATATCCCTCATCTTTAAGTTTGATGGGTCCTTTAGGAACTCTGCCAAGAGATGACCAGCAAACCTCTGTGTGGTCCAGGAGATTTTCCCTTCTGATTACAAATCATTGCATATATTTTTAATATATTTTAAACGCTCTTTTGTTTTAGAAAAACTAACCATATCAATGCATTCTGTTGTATTTTCTGTACTTGCATGTGTGCGCATGCATGCAACCGTGCTAGCGATTGAGCCCAGGTCTTAAGCATGTTAAGCAAGCACTCTACCTCTGAGCTGTATCCCAAGTCCCCTGGATTTATCTTCTTAGCCGCAGTAACCTGCGGGAAATCCTATAGGGAATTAGTTTCACACGTGTCACCCTCTCTTTTCATCATGGAGCAATCTTTCCATCAATGACTACACTCAATTTTACCCATAAATGGCATTTTTATTAAAGAAGCAATTTACTCTTCAATGCATAACACCTTTTTCTTTAGTGGCTTGCAGTCATGTGGTTCTTCATGTATTTCATTATTGAAACAGAATCCAGTAAACCATACTGGAATCATCTGTATTTTACCTAACATTTAGAAAAGCTTCTGCAGTGTGAAATCTGTTCTAATGCTTATTTCCCACATCTTCAACAATATTTTCTCTGCATCTTCCAACGGGCTCACCATGCACAAATGCCGCAGTCTGGCTGGGCACACAATCACGAGCCACCACACAGCTTGTAGATTCAAACAGCAACTCTTTATTCCCGAACTCACACCAGCCGTCTACAATCACGTTCTGGGGAAATCCACGTTCTCTGCCCAAATCCACGTTCTCTGCCCAAATTCACCTCCACTGGGCTTCTATCTCCAAAATATACTGTCTGAATCCCGTGAGAACTCAAGGGGAACTCAGGCAGCAGGATACGCCCTATTCCCAGCAGGAATAATCTTAAACCTTAAACCTGGAACCTAAACTGGGAACGCCCTAAACACGATTATCTTAAAACCGGGAACACCCTAATCTGCCTTGGTCCTTGAGCAAGGTCACCTACATATAATGTCACTGCAACATGTCAGCAACATGGGGTACGCTGGCAAGGAAATTGTCATACCTACTTGGCTAATGGCTCCCAGCAATGTTGGTTTATTTTCTTACTGCCATCAGATAATCACCCCAACTGCCCAGCTTCCACTCACTACAAAATGAAGGGGGTGCGTGTGTGTGTGCGTGCGTGCATAGATAAGTCACGTGATATGAGTCAAAGGAGAAATGAATTGGCCTCCTGGCAACCATCTCCCTCCCATCACTTCTAGCAAACTCAAGCAATGGAGGAGGCCCCAGGGAAAGGAAGATTGTATCTCATTTCCTGGATGAAAATGTGCTTTGGCAGTGAGCTTGTTGACCTGCTTTGCACCTGTCTGAGCACAGAGAATTGATGCAGAGACTTCTTGTTGTATCTGACTGGATTCCCAGTTTCCATCTCTTAGAGAAAAACTGGTATTTTGAGTAGGAGAGGGAATGGCGCTGACACTTTCTTGTTCACTTGAATTTGCATTATAAGCATTATCTCCAATGCGTTGTCCTTGGTAGGAATCTCGTTAAGCCACGTATCCATTTGTGAGAAAAGTTAATGTAGTTAAAAATTGCTAATGTAATCTGCAAAGCTACTTAGCTTGGTCCATGTGACCTGGAACACGTCACAGTAGATAAGGCTTATCAGCTTTAATTGAAGGCATCAAACAAAGCATTTCTGGGGATGTTGAGGTAAAAGAATGGAGGATCTAGGTAGAGGGGAGCTTGTCTGGAGGTTCTAGAGGTCAGCCTGGATTCCCCTGGACCCTGGCCACACCTGCAACATATATTTGTGAGATTTGTATATATATTATAAATTTTTATAAAATTAGGTATATATAATACATGTAATGGACTCCCACTGACTGGGGATCTTCTTTACATGGCAAATTTCTGTGTGTTTTGCTTACTAAGGTGGCCATAACAAAGTGCTATACACTATGTGGCTTAAACAACAGAAATTTATTGTCTCATAATTTGGAGGCTAAAAGTCTAAAGATCAAGGTGTGGACAGCATTGGCTTCTGCTGAGCACCAGAAGGGAGGTGCTCCCCCAGCCTGCTAGTTTGCTGGCAATGTTTGCCATTCCTTGGCTTGCAGAAGCACTGCCCTGAGATCTACCTTTATCTTCACATGAGTTCTCCCTGAATGTGTGTCTTGGTGTTCCTAATTTCTCCTTTTTATAAGGACATCAGTCAGATTAGGGGCCCACCTTCCCTCATGTGACCCCACCTTAATCCAACTCTATTTCCAAATAAGGTCAAATTCTCAGGTGTTCTGTATTAGAAACTTCAACATATGAAATGTGGAGAGGACACAATTCAATCTATAATACTGAGCTACATCTCAGATGTTCCAACATAGGATCTTAGAGGGTAAGAGCTTACAAGTGTGTGTGTGTGTGTGTGTGTGTATTCCATGAACTCTCTTGAACAAATTTTCAAGCACACAACCCACAATTGGAAACTAGACTGTACAGCAGTCTAAATCTAAATCTCTAGAACATACCCCTCTCACCCAGCTGAATCTTTGCACCTGGCTTACATGAATTCATGTTTTTCATAAGAACCCCAGGTGACTAGATGCTCACTAGTTTGAGAACTATATAGCCACCTGAGATGACACAGAATGACTCCCAAACACCTCAAATAAGTAGAAATATGAATAAAATAAGATCACACTTTTGAATATGTAGCCGAGTTCTAAAGGAATGAAAGAAAAAAAAAAATCACACACTACAAATGAAGCAATCTAAACCAGAAAGCTGAGCATTTACTGAAGCTAGTACAGCCCAAAGGAGCTTCAGACAGGGGTACTGAGCCCTGGGGTTTGGGTGAGCCCGGATGCCCACAAAGAAGGTGACAGCCAACACATGTTTGGATCAGAGGAACTGGGTGAACGCTTTTGCATGAAGCCTGGAGCTTAAAGAGATACCTTGTCAGTGAAAGGGGGACTCAGAAAAATCAACCAGAGTTGTTTCAACCACCTAGAAATTTGGAAGATTAAGGAACTAGTGGCCATTCACATCCACTGAGGCACATATAAGAAAAAAGGGATTTTGGTTGGGGTAGAGGCAGCATGTATTGGGGTCATTTTGGAAGAAGGGAGCAGATGATATAATTTTAGAACAGGTAAGGGCTGAGCCCCTGAGCAACTGGAGGAAGGAGTTCCTGGAAATGAGAATGAATTAGGGGCACTAAGAATCAGTGGAGGAGGGTGCCAAAGATGGACTTGCCACTTGTAAAGATTTCCAAGATTGTTCTCTGCAGTTCCCCCTTAAATCCAGTATTAGTCAGTTTTCCATTACTGTAACAAAATGCCTGGTATAATCAACTTAAAAAGAGTAAAGAATTGTTTGGCCTCATAGTTTTGGAGGTTTTACTCGAGTGTTGGTTGGCCCAGTTGCTTTGGACCTGCAGGGAGGCAGCACATCATGGCAGGAACATGTGGAGAAGGAAGCTGTTTGCCTCATGACAGTTGGGAAGCCAAGTCAAGAACAATAGAAAGGGGCTGATTCCCACTGTCCTCTTCAAGGGCACACACCCAATGACCTAAGACCTCCAAGTGGACCCACTTCTGAAAGATTTCACCACCTCCTGATGGTGCTAAACTGAGGACCAAAATTTCAACAAGTGGGACTTTGAGGGACATTTAAGATCCAAACTATAGGAAACCCTCATGAGGTCTGCCCCACCCCCTTTATCCCAAAGCCCACTCCTGGGCCTTGAGAGAGAGTAGCAAGCAGTCTCAGCAAGCTGCATCGGAGCTGGCAGGAAAGCAACTGGAATGCTATTTGCTTAGCAGGCCCAGTTTAGGGGAGCCAGGATTTCTAAAGTCACCCTTCCTCATTTGGGGACTTAGTTTGAGAAATAGTTGTTTTTTTTTTAAATGAAAATTGCTATGCAAATTATGGTATCTATTTCAATTAGGTAACAACTATCAGCTCTCATTTGCTGGTTGGTATTTATCAGACACTGTGCAACTTGAAACCTACCCTGCTTAATCCTCATGACAATCCTATTAGGCAGATACAGTTATAATCCCACCCTATCTTGTAGATGAGAAACCTCAGGTTCTGGGAGCTTATGTAATTTGTCTAAACTAAAGTCATTCAGTAGTAAACAGTGACACCAGGACTGAAACCCATGTCTGTCTTGCTTCTAAATAATATGTCAACAGCGGCTTATTCTGAGGGAGTCGATTACAGATGAGGCTTGTCCTATTCTTTTCATTTTCCAAGCTTTCTACATAAAATGGAGACAAATTAATAGCCATAAGAAAAAAAACAACACAACACAAAAATAATAATAAAGCCTTTGGAATGTGTAGGCAAGTGGAGACAGTAGTGAGGAGAGTGATGTCAGGTAAGGGCTCTCATCCCTCATCCCAGGTACCCCCATCATACCCGGGGTCCTGGTTCACTGAGTCTTTAGGTTGTTGCTGTTTTCTTTTCAAACCCAGGACAGAGTGCTTGTGACAGATGGGAGAGGCTCAGGGAAGCATGACCCTGACCCTGATAGGCCTCCCTCCCTCTCCTTCTCCCCACCCACAGGTCAACCCTTTCAGAGACCGCATCTGCAAAGTGTTCTCACATGACGATGTGCTCTCCTTTGAGGATGTGCTGGGCATGGCCTCTGTGTTCAGTGAGCAGGCCTGCCCCAGCCTGAAGATTGAGTATGCTTTTCGTATCTACGGTGGGTGCTATGGGCGGCTTGTGGTAAGAGGGGGTAGGCATACTTACCACATCTGGAATCCAGCAACATCAGTTCATTGATGGGATGGTGTTGACTGGGGTTTACTTGGGTCTTTGTGGGTATGTATCATGTTTCTCAAGTACTGTGGAATAACAAAATAATTGAGAACTACAACCTCAATGGAGGGTGCCCTCCCATCCATGCTATTCAGGTCAATGGAGTCATTGGGGTTGATATGTGGTGGTAGCGCAAGGGTGGGCCAGAGGGAGAGAGAGGAAGAGAATGACAGATGAGTAGGAAGGGGTTATGTTTACTCAGCAGAAGGAGTGTTGGTGAGAAGTTAAGAAACATGAACACTAGAATTAGGTCAACCACAAATGGCCAAGCGATCTTGAACACATCATTCCACTTCCCTGGAGCTTGGTTTTTCTCATATTTAAAATGAAGGACTTGAAGTAGATCAGCTCTGAGGTCCTTTGACTTTATTTGCGGGGGGGTCTCTGATTCTGTCTGGGATAGTCTCAGGGCTCTGCTAACATTCTGCTCTTCACCAGGTAAATGTTCCCTTACCATAGGTGGCACACGGGGTATTCTCAAAAGAAATCTTGAGAAGAGTTCAAACAGGCTGTGTGCAAGGCTTTGAGTGCACTGTGGCTTACATATACAGACTTGTACACTTCAGCATCACTCTTTCCATTTGAGCTGAGACACCCATCTTCTCCTGTCCTCATGCATCCATGAGCCAAATTACACAGGCTGATAAAAACCCTGAATTCATTCTGGTTGAAGAACCAGAGTGTTTGGGACAACTAACCCCTGAAAAGTAAGAGGAGAGTTCAGAGAGAAGGAAGCCAAAGAAAAGGAGCCCATGTTTTTTTTTTTTCACAAGCTCGGCAGAGATCTCTTCTGACTTCTAAATTATATATATAGGCACAAACGCAAAGCAACTTTACTAAGGATAAGAAACTGAACTAAGATTTGAGGAACTACTACATTTTAACAAGGCCCCCTGATTTGCAGTCTGAGTCCAACAAATTGCCTACTAAAGGCAAAAATTAAGCACTCTTTGGAGGAATATAACAGAATACAGAGTCTCCACAGCAAACATCTATAATATCCAAAATGCAATCCAAGATTACACAATATACAAAAATTTTCTTTTAAAATTAATGCATTCTCAAGAAGGAAGACTGACTCTGACTTGATCCGGGTGTTGAAATTAATTGACAAGCATTTTTACATGGCTATTGTAACTGTATTTTAGCCAGATTCTTTAAAGAAACCTGACTGACTAAAATGTCCTGAAATCAAAATCAATCCCCCCATCTATTTCTGTCTCTATCTCTATCTCTATCTCTATCTCTCTTTCTCCCTCACTATTAGATAGGTTTCTTTAAAGAATCTGGCTATGGTTAACCTCTAGTTAATCCATATTATTGGATTTATGCACCGATTAATTTAAGGCTCTCGTAGCCCAATCATTTCTTCATCATCTCATACATGAGCTTTTGGGAGACACCTCATATCTAAACCACAGCAGGAATTGACTTACATGATGAAGGTGGCCAATAAGTCCGATGATCTGCTGTCTACACACTGGATAACCAGGAAAGCTGTTGGTTTAATTCAGTCCAATGCCTCAAGAATCAGTGCTGATGTCCAAGGATAGGAGAAGATAAATGACCTGTTCATATAGGAAGAGTGAATTCTCCCTTCTTCTGTCTTTTTGTTCTACTGGGCTCCCCTTTAATGGATTGAATGATGCTTACCCACATTGATGAGTATGATCTTCTTCACTCAATCTACCAATTCGAATGCTAATCTGTTTTGGAAACATCCTCACAGACACCCAGAAATAAAGTTTTCCCAACTATCTGGGCATTCCTTAACTCAGTCAGGTTAACACATACAACTAACCATCACAATAACCATGCCCAGTGATGCAAAAGCAAATATACTCAATATACTCATAATTAATTAAAAAATAAGAAATCACAACAGAGAAATAGAAACTACGAAAAAGAATGAAATGGAAATTATAGGACTGAAAAACAAAACAACTGAAAATTTCATTGAATGGGCTTAGCAAAAGAATTAAGATGACAGGAAAGAATCTGTAAACATGAGTAATCTAATCTTAATAACAGAACAAATATTGAGAGAATTAAAGAATAGAGCCTTAGACATGTAGGACAATGGAAAGATCTAACATATATTCAATTGGAATCTCAGAAGGAGAGGAGAGAATGAATGGGACAGAAAAGATACTTGAAGAAATAATGAACCACATTCCTAAATTTGATACAAGACACAAATTCATAGTAAATTCCAGGAAGGATAAGTAAAAATGAAATCACATACCCAAAGTAGCCCCCACCTGTCCATGACACTCTTCCTCTTTCCTTTCTTGCAAGTATTTCTAGAAGTCTTCAGATAGTTCCCACTGTTTTCTGCTATTCTCTGTCATTTCTTCCACCACCGGTGGCAGCTGTGTGAGCTCAAGCCCCTGCTACACAGTTCTGGACAGGGCAGCTCCTCTGGGGGAACACGGGTCCAGGCTCCCTGTTCATTCTTGTCTCAGCCAAGAGTGTTCAAGTTACAAGTCACAGAAATTTACCCACATGAAAGGAACTGATAGGGAATCACATTATAATCGTTTTCCATTGTTGAATAAGAAATTTTCACAAACTTAGAGGCTTTAGATGACACATATGAGTGATTCCACAATGTCTAGGGGTCATAAGCCCAGGCATGACTGAGTGGGTCTTTCTGTTAGGGTTTACCACACTGTCATCAAGGTTCTCTCTGGGCTGCATTCGCTTCTGAAGAGGAACAATTACCTGCAAGCTGGCTCAGGTTGTTAGCAGATCCATTTCCTTGTGTCCATAAGACTTTGGGCCTTGACCCCTGGTTGGCTATCAGCTGGAGGCTGCCCTCAGCTCCTTGCCACATGGGCCTCCCAACATGGCCACTTACTCTTCAAAGACAGTGAAAGAGAATGAGCTTTGAGTCACTTTGCTGTCAGATGTCTTACATAGCATAATGTGACCATGAAAGTGACTTTTCATCACCTTGGCCAAATCTATTGGTTGCGAGCAAGTCAAGTCCTCACCCATGCAAAATAGAGGTGTGGAGCATGGGTGGCTAGGGACACTGGAGTTTGTCCAAGCAGTATAGAACCCGGGGAGAAATGAAGCCCCTCAGGGGCTAGGATATAGCTGGGAATCAGCCACTTTTTCCTCGCTGTGGCTGCCTGGTCTCTCTCATCTTATGCTCTCTAAGAACTTCCTCTTTCTCAGATCTGATTTTTATGCCTCTGTGCCCGAGAGCCAAAAGTGATTACCCCCAACCCCATGTGGCCTGTGGGCTCCTCAGCATCTGTTTCCTCCTCCATTTTCTCAGCAGGTGCTGATTGGCTTAGCCAAATCAATGATCTGCTGCCCTGGGCTGGGAAACAAAACTTGCTCCCCTATATCCAAAAAGAAACAGAGACGTGAACAAACATGGCCCCAGAAGTTGGCTGCTTGGGTTGGGGACTCTTCTCAGCAATGGTAAAGTATATGCTGGGCAGATGTCCTAAAAGACGTCTGCTCTGCTGTCTTTCCAAGGTTTCCAGAACCAACCAAACAAAATCCCCAAACCCCTCAGGGGCTATAGGAGCAGCAGGACATCTCCAGATTTCCAGCACGGGGGCTGTACCATGGTCAGCTCTGAATCAAGGAGAGCTGCATGACCGGGTCAGGTCAAGGATCAGACACCACACTGCCCTCCTGTGTCCCTGTGACTTCTCCAGCTGTCTCCAGGTTTCCCTCCCCGTGGAGCCCAAACAGGAAAACAAAAAGCTCAACACCTCCATGCAAATCGGCTTGCAAATAGATGCCAGGGGACTCATAGACGCCAGGCTGCATCAGAGGCACCCGGACAAATCTCTTTGGATTCAGAAGATTTGTGGCTTCACAAGCTGTCAGCGAGATTAGAAATGGAACTCGTGAATCCCTGTACCTCATGCCTGGCACATGGGGACTGCTCAGTAAGTCCAGGTGGTCTTGCTCTACAGTGAAGAAAGAAGAAAATGAATAACAAGAAGGAAGAGATGGCAAAGACAGAAGTAGGGGATGATCATAGTCAGAGTCACGGTGATGATTCATAGCAAAAGTCCAAGGCCTAACTCAATACTCTCACTCCTGGTAACTCTGGGTGTAGCCCGTGGTCTAGCAGCATTGGCACTAGCAGAAAACCTGTTTGAAATGCAGATCCTTGGATTCTGCCCACACCCACTGAATCAGAATCTGCATTTTTAGCAAGATCCCATGAGATTCTTTTGCACCTGAAAGTCTTAAGAAGCACTGCTTTAGCTCAGTGATTCTCAAACTTGGCTGCACATTAGAATCACCTGGGAGTTAAACAGAATAGAACAAAACAAAAAAACAGGTGCTTGGGCCCCAGCTCCAGAGATTTGATGTAATGGTATTTGAGTACTTCCTGGTGTTTCTAGTATGCAGCAGAGTTTGAGAGTTATTGCTCAGTCTGCTACAACATCAGTGTTACATTCAGTCACTCTTCACACTGCTCGTGTTTTGAAAAACAAAAAAAGCCTGAAATCAGGCATTCCAGAGTTGGGGCGATGATTCCAGGTGGCAATCAGGGACCCAGGCTCCTTTAACCTTCCTAATCTTTCAAAAGTATGGGACCACAGTCCTCATGATCACAGAATGGCTTCTCTGCCATTTTATCTTCATTCTAGGCAGGAAGAAAAGGGGACGAGAGAAGGGATAAGAACAAAATGTGCATTCAAATACACGGGTGAATCCATTTTCCTTTCACAAGCTAAGAACCCCACCCAGAAACTTCGATTTATATTTCATTGGCCAGAACAATGTCACATGGCCACCCATAGCAGCAAGGAAACCCGGAAAGTGACATATTTTAAGCTGAACATAGTATCATCTGGAATAACATTTCTGTTAGTAAGAAGACAGGGGGGGGGGGCAAAATTGGTCAAGAATTCAGCAAGAAATTGCACCTCCCTGGATCTTACCTCCTGGCCTCCAGTTTTTGCTTTGAGGAACATTCTAGCCTCCAGCTGATAATCCCCCATCTCTCCACACTGCGGGGAGATTTTACACATTTCAGAGACCAATACCCCAACCACAACCTTCTGCTCCAATCAGCATAGTCCCCACCAGTTGTGGATTCCCCTTGGGCAAAGCAGTAGTGGCAGATCTTTCCACATCTTTCTAAACCTGACACAGCCACAGAATGCTGGTGATTGGGAGAGACAAGGGAGGAAAGCCCAGTTCTCCTGGGAATAGCAGTGAATGCATGTCCCCCTCAGCCAATGGGCCAATTTTAATAACAATACCTTGTCCATTGCAAAGAGCAAGAATTACAGAGACATTAGGATGATGGCAAGAGTCTTTTGGAGGGACATGACGGCTGAGCCCTGACTCCACCAGATTCCTAAGCATCCTGCTGTTGGTGTTTCCCAAGAGAAAGTCTCCACCTCCTCCTGAGTGGTCCAACGCTGCAGCTCCTAAGGCTGCTGGGGTGGCATGGGCTGGGACCTGGCCAGTGGCCCAGAGCTTCCCGCCTCTAGCCCTTTCCCAGGCTGCTCTGCCCTTGCACCCCCAAAGGAGAGGAACTGTCCAGGACTACATTTGCTCCAGCAAATTATTCTGTTTCCAGATGGCTTGGGACCAAAGCCATGTCATTTGCTGCAGTCTCTGCATATAGGAGCTGGGCCAGCAGGATGCCTGGGGACACTGCGGGGTCTCAAGAAGAGAATTCGGAGTTTCTTGCCAGTGGTGCAGTGTCACTGCGGCTGTGGCTGCCTCCAGGTCCCTCTGCCTTTTTCACCTGCTCTGAGCCATTTCCTGTGGTGGACGATGCAAAACTGTGAGCAGAGAATCTCCACGAACCACTCGAACCACTCGGGCCTCAGTCTCCAATTCTTGGGGCTGATAAACATCCGGCCAGGGAAAAGGCACTGCTTAAGGAGCCACGGGTCAGTTGTGCCCTCCACACCTACATTCTACCTTCGGAAACAGAGATGGTGACTCTGCCATTGAAGGACCCTGTGGCACCAGCAAACTCTGGACATCAAGTCTTCTAATAGCCCAGTATATGCCTATCTAGCTCCTGTTCTTCAAGGTGGGACATTACACAGTCCCTAAGGTTTGTATTTTTAGTGCTGAATAATCAGCAAGTGATGTCGAATTGAGTCCTTACGGTACAAGCATTGTCTTCTGTGTTGAGCACCATCTGTGTTCCAGACCCCATGCCAGGTGGATGTGTCTCCTTATTTAATCTTTGCAGCAACTTGGGAGGTACTACTATTATTCCCTTTTTCAGATGGGGAAACTGAGGCTCTGATAATGAATTAGGATTAGATTTGGTGGTCAATGACAGGAAACCCTAAGCAGATCTAGTTTAAATAGGATAGCTTCTAAAACCACTGGGAGCAGATGAGGGGTGAGTTCACAGGTAAAGCACTTGCCTAACATACACAAGGCTCTGAGTTCTGAGATGAAGATCTCCATAGCACGTGGTTGACTCAGGACTAGCTGAGTTTGAATCCCACCTTTCCACTTTATGGCAGTGTGAACAAACCATATGATACCTTCATGCCTCAGTCTCCACTTATATAAAATAAGACTAATAAAAGGTTGATTGTGAAGATTCAGTGACTTAAAATAGGTCAAGTTCTTGGTACAGACTTGAGCGTGTATTATGCACTCAATCAATGACTGTTATTTTTGCCACGTTACTTAATACTTAATTTGTCTATAGCCTGCCCATCTGGTCATGCCTTGCCCTGTGGGCCTGCCCAGGTCCCCCCCGTCTGAGGTAGTTGGGCCCTGCTCAGCTTCCCAGAGGCTGATGGGATTCTGTGTCTTGGGCTCTGGGACTCAAGGCCCACAACTCCCATCACCACCTACCTCCTCTTTGCAGATTTTAATGAGAACGGCTTCATCGATGAGGAGGACCTGCAGAGGATTGTGCTACGACTGCTGAACAGCGATGACGTGTCTGAGGACATGCTGATGGACCTTGCACACCACGTGTGTACTCGAGAGCTGAAGGGCAGGGCCTGGGTGCCTTGTGGTTCAAAGCCCTTGGGTATCAGACCACCCACTTGGGAGGAGACCCAAGGCTGAGCCTCAAGCAGATTGGCACACTGGCCTTTGGACCACTTATTCCCTGGTGGCTGCCACAGGGGTGGGCCGCACAAGGTGCCTTGAGGAGTGGGCACATAGGTGGAAGCAACTACCTCCCAACTGTTTATCCTTCCCCCGAGTCTCTTCCATGGTCCCCAGAGCAATGTGCTTGACCCTCCAGTTCGGGGCCTCCCACCCACATGGGTTCCTGCAGGCAGATAGACCAAGAGCAGCTGGACACATAACAACATCCCCTCCCCACCTCGTCCCAGAGCCACACCATGTCCAGATGTCCTAGAGTGACTGTGAAAACCTTCCAGTGTTTCTGGTCTGAATGGGAACTAGAAGGAAAGAGACAGCATCACCACCACCTTCCCACCTGACTGAGCCCCTAACAGTGCAGGGCCCCTGCCTGTGACCAGGCGATGGGGCAGGTGGGAGGAACCCCTGCCCTCACTATCAAGATGGTGCTGGAGAATCTTCCTAGGAGTGAGAGTCAGCCCCTGAGATCTTGGATCCTTAGGGCACACTGCCTTGTTTCTCGGGGGGTCGGGTAAGGGGTGAGAACCGGCCTCACAGGTGGGACAGGGCCCCAGGAGATGAGTGTAAGCACCTGGCAGAGATCCTGGCATATGCTGTCCCTTGCATGGGCATTTCTCTCCTCCCCCCGCGCCCCGCCTCATTGTCACCAGGCTCCCCTCAGCCTCCTTCCCCTGGCCAGGTCCTGAGTGAGTCAGACCTGGACAATGACAACATGCTGTCCTTCTCAGAGTTTGAACACGCAATGTTCAAGTCTCCAGATTTCATGAAGTAAGGAGTTCTGGAGGGGGAGGGGTTCCCAGCATGGTGGGTGGGGGAGGGCTCAGGAAGGGCCCCCAGTCTCCCCTTGGCCAGTGGAGCATCTCAGTCTCCCCAAGGAGTCACGAGTTTCCAAGGCACTTTGCAGATTCTTCCAGAATTATTAAGCTGCAGCTTCTGAGAAATTAGGCAACCCCGGGGGACCTGAAACCCAGAGGGGAGGACTGGATTCCAGGGCTTTGCAAATGATGGGAGTGGTCCAACCTCAGAAGTCCCCGGGCGGCCAGCACACCTTCTCCCAAGAGCCACTGCGCTCCAGGACTGACCTGGGAGCTTGCCTTTGCCATAGTTACCCTGTGGTCGCAGGAAGGTGGGGATTTGTACAGGAAAGTGAAGGTGCTGCTGGAAGATGCTCATAGAAGAAGAGAAACTTAATGAGATAAGCAACCAATTCCACTTCCGAGACGAGAGCAGGAAGGAGACTTAATGGCCTTGTTTGGTCCGGATCCCCTGAAGATGGCTGGCCATTTCCGTACTTCCCTGGCTGTGTTTTCCAGTCCTTTGGGGATCCTTCAGTTACAGGAAGTGCACTCCCTCTAGAGGCAGCCCAAGTTGGGATGAAAGAGCCCTTATAGGGATGTTGAGGTAGCATCAGTTGAGCATGTCTTCTACGTCTGCCCCTGTTCTGCCCGCTGGTCTCATAAGCTAGGAGATTCTGATAGAAGGGAAGAATGCCCACTCAAGAATAGAGGGGCTGGGGTTGTGGCTCAGGGGTAGAGCGCTTGCCTAGCACATGCGAGAACCTGGGTTCCATCCTCAGCACCACATAAAAATCAATCAATAAAATAAAGGTATAAAAAATTATTAAAAAAAATAATAATAGAGAGCTGGGCCTCATAGAGCACCTGGACAGGAGCCCCCCAATAACTGCTCCTCCACCTCTCCCCAGGCATCTCTGCTTCTGACCTCACTCCTCTGCCAATGAGCAACCTCTGCTTTTTCAGACAGGAGACCTTCAATGGCCTCCCTACAGTGGCCAGGTTTCTCTCTCTTTGGTTTTGAATGACTTTCAGTGACTCCTCAGTGATCTCTCTCAGCTCTAACTCTGAATTTCCAGAGAGAGGGAGTTGGATTGGCCCAGTTGAATCAGGTGGTCTTCTCTGCTTCCATATACCCGGATGGGGGCCAGAGTTCCCCATTCCAACATGGCAGCCAGAGGGCTTGTAGCTTGGGTGGACCCTAGAGATACACACTTGGGGGCCACTCCAGTCAAAGGTAATTCTTCTTCCTCCACTACACAAAATTGGACCTGGCATCGGTCTGCCTTGTATTTCTCTTTGAGTCAATCCCATTTCTTTCCACTGGTTCCAGCACCATCAGGTTCTAAAACTTTTTGCATTCTAGTGTTGCTAAAAGAATCTTAAAGAAGTTTCATTTGGGCCATTAACCAGAGAAAGGGACATGAGAGGTGGGCTAGGGAGGACTCCAGGACCAAAGAGAGCCCCGAGTTGGAGGGCCCTTTAGAACCCCAGGCTCCAGATGAGCCTCTGGATTCTTCCTTTCAGCTCCTTTCGGATTCACTTCTGGGGATATTGATGTGCCACAAACTCCTGATCCAGCAGCCTCTCGGAGACCCCTGGAACCCACCCCTCCAGGCACTGAGATCTGACTTAAAACATGACTTTGGCCTCCTCCCGAATATTATTTTCTAAATAAAGCAAAGGAAAACCCTTTCTTTAGCCCATTAATCCATTGCTTTTTGAACACAGGGTCAGACACAAGAACGTGGCATTCAGAACTGCTCGTTCTAAGGCTTCAGTTTGCCAACGACGCCGAGCAAGCTGGGATGGCAATCTTTTGAGGCCAGGGTTCAAATCTCATGTCAGGACAGGGGACCAGGCCAAGTGGGATGAAGTTCATTAAGAAAGAATTTGTCCTTTTGTCCCTTTGCTGGACTTCTCCACCCAGCATCTCCCAGAGCAGAGTGGCATAGAGATGTGCACATAGCTGTCATTCCAGCTGGCGCCTGGCTTCCTTGTCCTCATCCCATGAAGAAGACATCTTGGCCCCACTTGGCAACCCCAGGCCCTTGGGATAAGACCACGTGTGACCAGAAACCAGGGTTTATTTGCTTTGCTATTCAGCCAAGTGCTGGGATGGATTTGGCCACTCCAGAGACACTTGGGGGCTCAGCTGGTCAGGGACTTTGGGACACAGAAGCAGCCCCTGTGGGGACTTCAGGGTCATCAGATACCCACCTGATAGGCACGTGGATTTTCCTTATTTGTCCTGTCCTTGGGAAGGTGGTTAACTCTGGCTACAGAGGAAAGGCTGTTTCACCCTCACGTGCCCTTGAACCCTGCTGTAGTCCCTTTGCCTCTGGGTCCTGACTTCCTCATTCAGGGGCAACAGGGCCTCTCAATCCAATCCAGAAGGTGGAACTTTGGGGAAGCCCTGCAGTGTGGTTGCACTCCTGAGTCCAGCCCTAAAGCCTGTCTACTGAGACTTTGTCACCCGTGTCCTGCTCCCTGCAGGAGACTCCAGGAGGTGTGAAAAAGCAACCTAGTGAAAGGAGATACTCCAGGCGTTCCAAGGCCACCCGGACACCCAGTCCAGGGCAGGGCAGGTAGAGGGTTCCTGAAATAGCATCCTTGAAGAGTAGCTTAGTCCTGGGTCACTCTCTCCCACTCCCTTCTAGAAATGGCCTCAGGGTAGATGCCAAATCAGCTTGTCTCTGTCAGTCCAGGCAGAATGCAAGAAGTAACTGCCTCAAGCACCTTCTTCTCTAAGGTGATGCTCCTCCACAGTGTCCTTCAGGGTCCCAAAGTCTGCCCCTCAGTCTCCATATAGGTCAGAAGTAGAGCATATAGTAGAAAAACCAGGGCTCAGGCATCAAACAGACCTGGGTTCAAATCCTGGTTGGATCCCTTCTTCACTGTGTGTGCTTGGGCAACTTTCTCAACATCTCTGGACAATGTCTTCATCAGTGAACTGAGGTGAAGAACATCTTCCTCACAAGTTACCACATGAGTCAAACAGTGCTGAGCCAGGGCTCCCTAGAGAATTCCTTCCCACCTCACACTCAGTGTAATTGTTCTGGGGCCACTTTTTCTTATGGATAGCATGCCTTTATTTCACTTATTTATTTTTATGTGGTGCTGAGGATCGAACCCAGTGCCTCACGTATGCGAGGCGAGCGCTCTACCACTGAGCCACATCCCCAGCCCAACTTTGCCCTCATTTTCAGATGTGCGTTTCGGCTTCCTTGATTACACCAGTAGAAACACAAAGGAGGTCTATGTATCTGAGTGACCTGCCACTAAGGTTTGGGTGCCCTTTCCCCTTTGGTTCTACCTGCCCCAGGATGCAGCTGGGCACTGCTGATCCTGGGTTTGAGCTGAATTTTCCATAGACTCTTAATACACCTTGTAGAGTGACCCTCGGGGCACTTTCCCATCGTGGTGAAATGCCCCTAGGACCCAGGGGAGAAGTGCATGGGATAGTCGTGGCGAAAGATTTTATTCCAAGCAAGCCAAGCTAGTCAGGCTGAGGCTGCAGGGGTCAGCCACTGGTATTATGATCTGTACTCAAAGTAGCAGTCCCTCCTCTGCCGCTCTTGTGCAGACACCCGCTTCCCCAATGGGTAGGTCTGGTAGGTCCTCAGGTTCTCAGGGGAGTTTCTTAAAAGGTACCACTTCTTCTTTGGGCTCAGAGGAGGCCTGGATGTGAGGAAGGAGTTGGAGTCAGGCAGTGTGGCCAGGAGGGAGGGTGAAGAAGGCCCAACAGGCCATGCCCACCATCAGCCCGGGCTGGCCCTGCTGGCTGCTCATTGGTTTAATCTGATGAGTCACCCTGACTTGAGAGGAAAGTGATTCGTGTTTACATAGTAGTACAGTGGTTAAGAATGAGGACGTGGGTGTCAGACAGAACTGACATGGATTCTGACCCTATCTCCTGCTGGAAATGGACCACTATTGGTATCACCTCTTAGCTTTTTTTTGAGGAGTAAACCAGCTACTGCATACAAAACACCTAACATAACTCTGGACAAGAAGAAAATCCTCTACAAGTGTTACAAGAAGTAATGATGGTGATGGTGACAGTGACGATGATGGTGATGGTGGTTGTGGTGGTGGTGGTGGTGGTGACAGTGATGGTGGTGGTGGTGACAGTGATGGTGGTGGTGGTGGTGATAGTGATGGTGGTGGTGGTTGTGGTGGTGGTGATGGGAATGGAATTCCAGAGGGGAGAGACTTGCCCCAGGCAAGAGAACTGACCCCAAACCCTCATGCTCAAACACCTGTTGATCATCTGCCCTGAGCATGGAACCATCAGCAGCACAGGCTGCCGGCACTTTAGAAAAGAAAGAGAGCTGGGCTTTTACCAGCTCCCTGCAGCTTCAGGAGGGGCACATCCTGGAAAGAAGGTCCCAAGAGGCAACCTGTCCTCAGGACAGGCTCACTCTCTCCAAGGACTCACGGACCCAGAGCTATCCCAGGCAGTGGAGATGGTCAATCCAGAGTCTAGAGTTGGCCACAGGAGGAACAGTTGCCTTTCAAACCTGGCCTTCAGCTAGCCAGGCCATCCAGCCACAAGGCTCCAAGGCAGTCATTGAGTCTCAGGTTCCCTGTTTATAAAATAGACCCATCTACCCGACAGGCACTTCCAGAGGCAGACAAAGTCGTGTCTCTAAAAATCCATTAAGCTGTATGGAAACAGCTGTGGCTTTATCTGAAACAAGGTAGCGAGGGCTGGGGCTCCTGGTAGGGTCAGCACGGTTTGGAATCCTCAAATCTCTCCACTGACCTCCTGACGTTGTCCCTCCCCAAAGAGTCGGGCTGTGAGGGGCGGGGAAGGAACGGGCTGGGAGGCTAGCGAGGCATCAACCACCCTCCCACCTCTACCACAGGACATGACGGTGTGGCCTTGTCATCCAGTGCCTGTGTGGCAGGAGGGAGCCTGGATCAGCTAGCAGGGCGGAGTGCTGGCCTTAGGAGGAAAGCCGCCCTCCCAGGTCAAAGCAGATGTGGAGGATGGGCTGTGAGAAACTTCTATATTTTGTTGGATGCCCAACTGAACTTTCAAGATATTTCCAAGTCCCAAGTGAGGGAATTGTTCTCCAGCCCCGCCCAGAACAAACCCAGTCTGGGCGGAGCTGGGGACGGATTCCTCATTTATTGAAGTGCCCTCCGCGTCCGCCAGAGGGCAGCAGCTCCCTGCCGCTCCACATTTGGACCGGTGAAGCTGCAAAGTTGGCCTTGCCAGAGAAAGAGTCCCCAAAGATGAGTGAGGGTGCTTCTAAACTCCCCGTGCATCTGATCGGGATGGCACTTTTCCTGGTTCTGCCCATTCAGGTTCCTGGCATCCCTCCTAAGGCTGCAGAAGCCAGGACTCCCTTGCTCTGAAGCTGCCACTTTGCACTGCAGGCACTTTAAGGCAAGGTTGTAAACGCAGGTCTCAGCCAAAGTGCTTCAAAACCCTGGGTGGGAGCAGGTGCCAGTGGGGGGGGGGGGGGGGGTGTTTGTTCAAGATGTGTCAGCGTGGATGGGGAAAGAGCAGCCACTCACAGGTCTGTAGGGATGGGGTACCGTTCCTGCTCCCTCACAGGTAGTACAAAGTAGGGGACCCGAGGCACCGTGCCGGTCTTGTCTAGGTAGTACTTCCGCTGCTGCTGTGCCAACTGCAGCCCGACCAAGGAAAAGATGACAGATTGTTAGTGACTTTAGGCACATGCCAGGCTGTACCTAGGCAGACGCAAAGCAGTCTCCTCTAATGTCCTTGGGGGAGTCTCCAAAGCTCCTGGAGTCCCACCACAACTGCTAACCTGCTGATATCCTCTCTGAGCCTCAGTTCTTTGTCCATCTAATGGGGATAATGACACACACACAGAGAGACCACTTTTGCTGCAGAGAGTAGACAAGGACCAGCTAAGATAAGGTATGAAACCCCAGGTGAGCAGGGGCATGCACACCTGCTGTCCACACCAGCAGCATAAGCTTCTCTTCCTCCCTCTCCTCCCCTCCTAGACAGGGCATGTTCTGTTGTGTGAGCCAGGATGGAGGGAAGGGCTGTCACAGACTCACTGAGATGGCCCCATGGCTCTTCAGAGTTTGAGGGCATCTCATCATCCTGCCACTGAGGAAGCTGCCTTATCCCTACAAATCCCTTGCCCTGGCACCAGGTGGCACCTGTGTCCTTGCAATCCATCTGGGAGGGACATTTGTAACAGAAAGTGATGCAGAGAGTAGCATTCTGGGAACAGCACCGAATAAGCCCACACCCCACCAAGGGGTCAAGTCCAGCTCAGGCCCCCTGGGCCCTACTGGGATGGCTTCCAGAGCCACAAGGAGCAGGACAAGAGCAATGGGGGTGTTGGGGACTCTGCTTCTTCCTCCTCTCCTCCCCCTAAGTAGTTTGGTATGGCTTGGGGCTCACCTTCAGAGGACCTGGGGACAGGGGAGGTGCACTGGGCACAGGGTCCAGGTGGGTATATCAGTAGACTGGACCAGGGTAGGGAGTTTCAGAGGGGCCTTTGCTCATGTATTTTCATCCTGTGGGTGAATCTTAGGCCTTTTGTTTCAGTGAGCAGGGGTTCATACGGCCGGGTACTACAAGGGACAGATGTCAGGTCAGGAACACCTCCGGAGGACCCAGCTCCAGTGGCAGTGGGAATGAGCAGGAACAGGATCCACAGGAGCCCCTGGGTGGTGGAGGTCAGGGAATCAGAGTCCGG